CTTTTTTCTTTTTTTTGGCTGCATGCTCAGCATTCTCGTAAGCACCGGGTTTACAGTGAAGAACTAAATCAATATGGTCTCTGCCTTCGGGGAGCTTACAATGAATAGCACTAGGCATATAGTAAGCACTCAAAAAATATTTGCTAAACGAACAAGATCTGCTTGACTTTCAGTTACGTAGTTTTATGCCCAGCCTAGTTCTGGGCTTTCTACAGCCTCACCTCGCCTTCCTCGCTTGCCTAAAAGATCCATATCATCCTTTGGACTTCTCCTGTCACTGACTCGCCTCTCCCTCCTCCATACAAACTATTCACAAGGACTCCTCTAAACTCCCCACATCCTCACTCGCTTCTGCCTGTGCATGCAGTCCACCGCACCTGGAATGCCCTCCCACTACCAACCTTCTTCACCAGACTAACTCTCAGTATTATTTCCCAAAATTTCATTAACATATTGATTTTATCATTTGTTCTAACTTGTATAAACCTCTCAAGCTCTTCAGGGAAACTTTTCTATGATGTAACAGAAAGCTATGTACCAGGTGACAATACCAAATTAAGTAGTAAAGAGAGTTGAAGGACAAATAATCTGAGGTTACTTATGTAATTTCTCTTCCTCCCAAAAATACGACTTAGTCCAGTGACTTTCTGGGCATTGTGCCTGCAGAACTCGGCCAAGGTACAAGGGCAGCAACGTTCTCACTACTATAGGTCTGCTTACTCAATCACTTGCCCATAAAAGAAATGTTTCATTTACAGTAAACAAAACCAATTTGGGACACAAGCTATCACTTAAAGGTCTTCCCCGCAAAGAAGGTCAATAGTTTAGCATCTAAATTATTTGAGATGGATTCTCTAGTCTAACAGCAGAAATATTGCATTTAAAAAAAAAGAAAAGAAAAACGTCAGATACTTATTCTTATAGACAAGAAGGCAGATACAGGTAAGTCACAACTTACAACACAGCCTCCACAACTTCATTTAGCTGATAGCACATAATCTTTAGTCCCTCATTTCTAAAAGCCACGCATCCATCTCTCTCTTCCCACTTCCGGAAAGAGCAGAAAATTAAACTGGAGTCATCCGCTTTGAGGTATACAACAGTGGGGGCATGGGTTTAAGCAGTTTCTTCTGACAATATTCATTCCTCTCCAAGTTCCTGGACAGCGCTGGGCTTCTTTCAGAACCACACAACAATGACTCTGAAGCCAGGGGCCTGAGAGGCAGTGTTTTAGACACTGCCTATGCTTCTCTTACAACAGAACAGTCGGTGCACTTTGCCCAGCCACAGTGAAGGGGGAAATGTCTTAAAAGGCAACAACACCATGCTCAGACTTACTGTTAACCATTTAAAACTCAGGGCCCTCAGTCAAGATTTCCCCTAAGACATGAAGATAGACTGCTCATCATGCCTGTGCCTTGCTGCACACTGTCGTATACCAGAGCACCCTGTCCTCCTGGTTGTTGACGATTTGGCAGCAGGCCCCAGTCTGCCATTTCTAACAATGGTTAGACCTTTACTGGATCTTTGAGTTCTCTGAACAACACTCCTAAGTTTCAGATCCAACCTAGATTTATACATGGGGAGTGTATAGTTCAGTGATTAAATGCCTGAGCCGTGGGAACAACCAGAACTGGGATTCAGATCCAGCAGCTTTTCACTACCTGTGTAACTCAGGGTAAGTCACTTAACCACTCTAAGCCCTTAAAAACTCCTTACTACCCCTGCAAGTCTCCATGTGATCTGGCCCCTGCCAGCCTCTCAGACCTGGTCTACCATCACTCTCCTCCTATTTCACTCTGCTGGTACATGCGCCAAGCTCATTCCCACCTCAGGGCCTTTGCACTTGGTGTTCTCTGCCTAACACACTTTTCTCCAAGTCTCACTTGGCTGCCTACTTTTCATTACTCAGGTCTCAGCTCAAACGTCAAAAAGTCACCTCCAGATCTCATAATGTTGAGCAATTATGAACATGTGAGTGGATACTACATAATTCTATTTATGTAAGTATAAAAAGAAACAAAACGAGTGTATAGTGTTGAAAGTCAGGGGACTGGTTAACCTTTGGGGGAGAAAAGAGTGACTGGACAGAGCACCATGGGGCTTCTAGTTTGCTGCTAAATGATTAGCTTCTTGATCTGGATTTGTTTATGTGGGCACGTTCCGTTGGTGAAAATTCATCAATCTGTTCACTTATGACATGTACATTTTTCAATATATGTGTTATATTTCTATTAAAAAAAAAAGATCTGGAACAAAACAAAAAAGCCATATAGGCTTCCCCTTGATCACCCAATTTACATTTATCTTTCTGCTAAGCTACTCATCCTCCATCCCATAACTGTTTTACTTTCTTCACAGTATGCATCACTGGCTGAAATCATCTTCATTATTGTTTACATGTGGACAGTCTAACCCTCCCCTACCCCTAATAAAGTGTCAAGTGGCCAAGGACTCTTCCTGCCTTGTTTAACACCCCAAATTCCCAGCAGCTGAAACAGTCTTGCCAGATGGAATGGGCTGAATAAAAAAATACGTAAAAAGTAAGAAACGCCTAAAAGATATAATCTCAAAAGTCAAAACAGTGAAGCCAGGAGTAGAGGTAACTGAAAATTTCAGTGATATTAAGCATTAGGAAGACCTGACAAATGTTAAATTTCACCGGATTTCACCAGAAATATCCTCCTATGGGTATCTTTGTGAGACGGGTTAAAGTTACTTCTCAAAGCAGAATTTTGTCTCTGTATACCCAACAGTTTTGTACAAGGTCTGGCACATAGTAGGTCTGGGCAGAGTGGCAACAGATTTCTGAGACACTGGGTGAGGATTCTTAAGTTATATATAAGTTTGGTGGAAAAAATGGGTCATGTTGAACTACAATGTCTGCCATGGGCAATGGGCTTAGGTACAATATCAAATCAGGCTTACATGGGGAGATACCAAGAACCACTCAAAATTTTGAAAATGGGGTTCCTTCAAAGTCATGAGCAATATTCCCCTAGTTTTACTGCCAACTGTAGGATGTTTATAAAGAAAAAGTTTTTAAAATGTGTCTGCAGTGCTAGTGACTTAGAATGTTATATAGTTATTTCTGGTATGTAGACGTACATGCTAGCATAATGTATTTTCATGAGGAAATCCACATTCACCAAGGAATAGCCTTGTGTAATGGCAATTTAAAGGGAAACATTTACTTTGGGATTAGCTATGCCACAATCTCTCTATATATAATCTCGGAAAAAATCACTCAACTTCTTTGGCTCTCAATTCTTTAGGTCTCAATTTTCCTACCTGTGAAATGAACTGGTTGTATTCGATGTCTGCAAATGCCATTTCTGGTTCCTGGGTATTGTGTACTATTCTCATCTTTAAAAAGATTCTCATCTTCTAAGCCTTGTGTTTACAGAGTAACAAACCATTCACAAGCATGTAAATCAAAGTAACCACACAGACGGAGGTAAAAGATCCATTTACCCAGTCTTCTTGCCAAAGCAAGGGTATCTATATCCCCAATCAGATAACCTCTGGTGATGTGTCCATGCTCCCATTTCTAGGTCAAACAAGAAGTCTTATCATACTTTAGCTAACCACTCTGTATTTGAGGTTTCTCTGTGAAATTCTTTCCTTTTCTTGCATTTTCACAGCCCTAGGCCTCATACTGCTCATCAATTCAAGTCTACATTCATAGTTAGCACTGTAGTTCTTGTTTTTGTAACACTTAAATAATGAATAGGACTTGATCACCTGGAGGTATTCTCCTTACTCTATTACAATAGTTATTAGTGATTTTAATTAGACAAAATTTCTTTTGCTACCCCACCATACTGTCAACTGCCTATTAAGGATATTACAGTAATAAGTATTAGCACCTTTTAAATTTACATTAACAAAAACAGAGAAATGGGAAGTCAGGAAATGAAAGAGGGGAAAAAAAAATACCACAGGTGTCATAATTAGCTAAAGCTTAGAGCAACTCGAAAAATCATTAGTTCCCTCCCCCCCTTTTCTTAAAAACTATACTATGCATATCCTGGTTAAAATTGTAAGAGTGATAATTTGCCTCTCATCAGTTAAAAATGGGAAAATGGACAAGGACATCGCTCTGCTGTGGCTGAGACCCAGACTATCCTTTCTTTAGAAGGGGAGAGAGATTATCCACAGAGAATAAGCCAAGTGGTTGAGTGGTTTCTCCAAAAGTCATTACCAACTCATGGCCTGCCCAAGGGCCTTCTGCCTACTGCAAAGTTTGCCACGTGCAAAAAGTGAAATCTACAAAAGGTCATGTTCAAATGCCTATTCCAGTATCTACCACTGGCCCTCTTAGGTCTATTTTCCATAAACAAGAAGTGGACAGGGCCAATGATCTGATGCGTTTTAGCAATGGGACTGATTTTTCATTGAAATGAAGAGGGGGAAGAGTTTCCCACTTTTCTCCTGACCCATGGATCTCACCAACGCAGGTAAACACCCCTCCCCCCAAGTCTGTAAAAGCAGATAGCCTTACAAAAAGTTTCTCTCGAGCAGTATGTAACTAACGATGGGTTTCGGGGCATGTTTATTGCGTGTCCTAAAAAAAAATGGGCTCAGGGCTAGAAATGTTCAAAGATGGAACTGGTAAAACAGATAGTAAAGCCCCGTGGACTCCACAGCTCGGTCCAAGGAACCTTCTTTGAACCTGCGACCAGTGTCCGGTGCCGTGCCCCGCGCCTCTGCGTGCGCTCGGGAACCCACGTCAGCCACTCAGGTAGTTGGGCTGTTCACACTCTGGGGCTCCCCAGTTGTCGTCCCCCTCAGTCTTTTGCTCCCAACCTCAACCCACACCCGGGCAGGGGTGCGGGGCCCTCCCTGCGCCTGGGCGCAGCCCCGCGCGTCGCCTCCTGACAGGACGCCGGACGCCGCCACACAGGCCGGGACAGGGCAGGGACGAGAAGGCGGTTGAGAAGAGCCGGGCGGCGGCCCCGCCAGAGCCCTTCCCGCGGCTCCACCATGGGCCCGCTCACCTGAGACCTGGCCGCCAGGAGCGGGCGCCGGAGCACCAGGTCTCGCAGAAGTTTCCTGGTCTGTGCTGCCACGGGGGACGCCATCTTAAACCGGAAGGCGGGCGTGGGGGCGTCCGACTGAGAGCTGCGGGTGAGAAGGAGGAGGCGGGCCCGGCCGTCCCACCGCCGGGAGCCGCCCCACCGCCGGGAGCTGCCCCTGTGCTCCCCGGGATGGGGTTTATCCTGGGCTCCTGGGGATAAGTCGGCCGCTCCGCCAGGGGTCGCCCCTGGGGTCCCGGGGGCACGGGTGTTCCTCCGCCAGGGGTCGCCCCTCCGCTCCCGGGGTTGGAGTCGCCCCTGTGCTCCCAGGGCAGTGATCCAGTGCCCGAGGCGCCCGCTGCCTGTCAGGCAGGACGAGCTATGTGAGCGGCCAAGCCTCTCTGCCCACGACGGCCCGTCCCCAAATTTACGTTTAGCATTTAGAAGGCCATTCAGAAGGCCTGGTGTACCCCTAACCGTTCTATCCCCGGGTACAATTGTGAGCAAGAACGGTTCGCAAACCCTGCGGTCGTGCAACTTTTAAAGTGTATCACAGAGACAGACCAGCCACTATTAGTCATTGCCGAGGGAGTTCCACGGGTCGGCCCTCAGAGCCAAAGCCGTCTTATAGGCCCCGCCCGGTGCTGGGGGGCGGTCTAGGGGAGCCAGGTTTGAGCTGAGACTCGAAGGGTTAAAGGGTGAGGCAGGGTCTTGCAGCCCAGGGGCCAGTGAGGTCGGTGGAGACCCTGTAGGCCTTGGTGACATTTTTTTTTCTTCTTTCCTTTTTTTTTTTTTTAGTGTCATAAATATACAGGTGACAAAATGTTTACGATTTCTAGAATCTTCACATGTATAGTTCAGTGGTATTATGTTCATCATGTTCATCTATCACCACTAACCTATTCTTGGTGACAGTTTTTATCCTTAATCTAAGATTAATGCAAAGCTATTGAAGGATTTTAAGCAGGGGTGGCCCAGTAGTTATGATAACATACTTGGAGTTTACTGTGCATTTGGTCTGTCCATATCTGAGCACTGTACATTAATAAAAACGACAGTAGCAAACATGTTTTATATGACAAAACTTTACAAATATAACCTTATTTTGTACTCGTATCAACGTTTTTAAGTAGATGCAAGTGTAAAATCCTCGTTTTTCAGAAGAGGAAACAGGCACAGAGAGGTTAAGTAACTTGCTCGAGATCACAGAGCTATTAAGGAGTAGAGATGAAATTCAAATCCAAATTTTTCTCCCCCTCCTCCTATCAAGTGCTATTTTAAAATTTTTTGAGCATATCATCATAAAAAAAGGTTCAACATAATGGAAGTAGGCAACTATTGTCCATAGTTACCTCCCTTCATGCCTTTTTTTTGGGGGGGATCTTTTTATTTTGACATAATTTCAAATTTACAGAGAAGTTACAAGAATATTACTAAAACATGCCCAAATATCCTTTACCCAGATTCATCAATTATTTACATTTTACCCCATTTGCTTTACCATTACAGATAGATGGATAATAGATGTAGACAGATGTATAGCCCACTGGTCATCAAAATTTTACCTATTACAGAGGGTCCCAGCAGAGCTGGAGAAAAACGTAGAACAAAATCCTAACTCACAAAAAAAGACCAGACTTACTGGCCTGACAGAGACTGGAGAAACCCCAAGAGTATGGCCCCTGGACACCCTCTTAGCTCAGTAATGAAGTCGCTCCTGAGGTTCACCCTTTAGCCAAAGATTAGACAGGCGCATAAAACAAAACGAGACTGAAGGGGCACACTAGCCCAGGGGCAAGGGCTAGAAGGCAGGAGGAGACAGGAAAGCTGGTAATAGGGAACCCAAGGGAGAATGTTGACATGTCATGGGGTTGTTAACGAATGTCATAAAAAGAAGTGTGTACTAACTGTTTAATGAGAAGCTAATTTGTTCTGTAAACCTTCATCTAAAGTACAATAAAAAAAAATTGCCCATTAGATTTAATATCCATTGATGATTCTTGCTTGAATCAGTTATTACTACAATGATTGGAAAATAGTGGTTTTCTAACGCCATCCTTCTACATACGTTAGTTTATTTACATTCTCCTCTAAGATAAGCTTTGCCTTCTCCCCTATTTCTTTATTCTTTTGTTCACTTGTATCAATATGGGCTCCTGGATTTTTTTTTTTTTAATTTCATTTCCTACTATGCTCTGCTGCCTCTGGATATGAATCATTTAATCTTCACCGGAACCCTTCTAAGAGAGCCCTACTGTTAACTACCATTTTGCCAGAGAGAACTGAAAGAGATTTTATAAATTGCCTAGGGTCACACAGCTTCTGATCAGACCCAAAAGCTGGATTCTAACCACTCCACTCCACTCCACTCCACTCCGTCCTCTTGATATGAGAAGACTTGAGTTTCCATCTCCTTCCTTCTTTGCCACCCCTACTTGGTCTGCCATTGAGCCAGGCTCGCACAAAGACCCTTATTAATGTTTGCAGAATCTGTCAAAAGGACAGAGAATTAATCAAAGGCTGTTTATTCAGATCTTACTGTGGTAAGAAATCTACCACCATCGCTTTCCCTTCAGGGTTTGAAAGGAGGGTGAGCTTTAGAGAGCAGAAGGAGGAGGTCTAAAGACAGTCTCTGATGGATGAATGTTCTGCTAGAATGCAATTTTTCTATTAGGGTAGAGTTTTTGGAAGCTAAGAGGGGAGAGGTTTTCTGACTGGCACTCAAGTATATCTGGCAATCTTTGATTGGTTCACTGGTATATAACAAGGTGATTTCCAGGCTGGGTAGTGTCACATAAATTTGCCTTTTCAATTGAAAGATCTGTTCCTCGGCTTTGGGGTCCCAGTCTTATGTAAGCAATACCTCAATGTCTTTGCCCACATTCTCTTATCCTGCCGTTTCTACAGTGCAGGCAGAAGAAAGCAGGGAATAACCATTCACCTGGTATCTTCAGTGCCTAGCACTGAGCCAGGCTTAGAGGAGATGCTCAGTATATACATGTAGAATGCCTCACATTTACTGAGTACTCCTAAGACTTCTCCGAAGCAGCCCCGGTGGTGCAGTGGTTAAGCTTGACTGGTAACTGAAAGGTCGATTGTTCAAACCCACCAGCTGCTCTGCAAGAGAAAGATGTGGTAGTCTGCTTCCATAAAGATTTACAGCTTTGGAAACCCTATGAGGCAGTTCTACTCTGATCTATAGGGTTGCTATGAGTCAAAGTCAATTCAGTGGCAAGTGGGTAAGACTTCTCCATATTTTTCACCCCTTTCTTTCCAAATAGGAAGCTCTTTGAGGACAGGGAACCTGGATTCTACCCCATAGTTCTCCACTGTGCTTGACTGGGACAAGCACTGGGTTTCCAGTCAACTAGTTTGGGTTTAAATTCCACCTTTATCCTCTTGTATGCCTAGGACCAGGGGAAGCACCTACTTCATAGGGTGGTAGTTAGGATTTGGTGAGTTATTGTGTGTAAAACCCTTGCATACAGTGGGGCTTAATAAATGGTTTTTTTCCCTCTTATCGGCTTTTAGGAGCCCTGGGTGCCACAAATGGTTAACCACTCAGCTACTAACTGAAAGGCTGGCAGTACAAATCCACTCAGAGGTGCCTCAGAAGAAAGGCTGGTGATCTGCTTCGAAAGGTCACACCCATTGAAAACCCTGTGGAGCACAGGTTTGCTCTGAAACACATCAGGTCACCGTGAGTCGGAATCACTCAACGGCAACGAGTTAACCAGTAACGATTAACTGGTTACTGGTTAACCTGTTGCCATTGAGTCAATCCCAACTCATAACGACCCTATAGGACAGAGGAGAACTGCCCCATAGGGTTTCCAAGGAGCACGTGGTGGATTTGAGCTGCCTACTTTTTGGTGAGCAGCCGTAGTTCTTAACAACGACGTCATCACCAGGGTTTCCCTTGCCACCAGGGTTACTGATTAGTGGGGTCTTAACAAATATTTGCTTGACATCTAATATGGAACACTCAAGCCAATCTCAAATGTGAGCTAGAAGGTCCCTGACACTTTGTAACTAAGCCTGATAGCACTGGAGTACTGTGGAGATGTGTGAATGTCACGAGAAAATATTAAGAGTCTCAAGTGGTTGCCTCTAGGAAGAAGGTGGAGGGAAGTCATCAGGGAATGATGATACTTTGTTTTAGCGCTTCCAAAATGCAGATTCCTGGACTCCACCCTACCCAAGCCATGGTATTTTCAATTGCCTCATTTTCAATAATCTTGAAAGCTGGACAATGAAAAGGAAGACAGAAGAAGAAACGACACATTTGAATTATGGTGTTGGCGAAGGATACTGAATATACCATGGACTGCCAGAAGAATGAACAAATCTGTCTTAGAAGAAGTCAGCCAGAATGCTCCTTACAAGCAAGATTGGTGACTTCCTCTTGCTTACTTTGGACATATTATCAGGAGAGACCAATCCCTGGAGAGGGACATCAAGCTTGGTAGAGGGTCATGGAAAAAGAAGAAGACCCTTGTCTTAGTCATCTAGTGCTGCTATAACAGAAATACCACAAGTGGATGGCTTTAAGAAACAGAAATTTATTTTCTCACAGTTTAGGAGGTTACAAGTCCAAATCCAGGGTACCAGCTCTAGGGGAAGGCTTTCTCCCTCTGTTGGCTCTGAAGGAAGGTCCTTGTCTCTTCTGAGCTTCTACTCCTGGGCAATCTTCATGTAGGTTGGCATCTCTCTTCCCCCGTCTTTGCTTCCCTGGCTTGCTTGTTTAATCTCTTTTATATCTCAAAAGAGATTGACTCAAGATACACCCTATACTAATCCTGCCTCATTAACATAACAAACACAACCCATTCCCAAAATGGGATTATAACCAAAGGCATAGAAGTAAGAGTTTACAACACATTTTGGGGGGACACAATTCAATCCATAACAACCCTCAAGAAGATGAATTGACACAGTAGCTGCAACAATGTGTTCAAACATACCTATTATTGTGAGCATGGTGCAGGGCGGGGCAATGATTCGTTCTGTTACATATAAGGTCAGAACCAACTGGAGGGTACCTAACAGCAACACCCTAGACTTAGTAA